TATATATATTTATTATTTTTATTATATTCATCTTTCAGCCATGACTGGCTAACAATACAGAAGTTACAATGACGGGACGCATGTGCACTCATGTTACCATATCCAATAATATAAAACTGACCTTTAGTCTTTACAAAGTGACCTGTCTTTTATTAGACAAGCATTTTGTAAAATACAGTCACATTTCAATTATTATACATTATATATATATATATCATTGCTATTTAGAAAGAAGTTCTTAAACTTACTTTTCTTAAAACACAGAACAGTAAAGTATACAATTATATCTTCCAGTTACGACCTTTGTATTTGGTTGCTGCTTGACATAGGTTGTTAAGCCTTTTAAAATTTTACATGTGGAGGATATGAAACGAAATAATTTTTTTTAGGTTTTATATATACGGTTGAATAATCATAAAATCATAAATTACTATATCAGTACTATAGAATTCCACAATAATTTATCAAGCTTAGTAACTAAGCTGTATTTCAGTCTAAAAAAATATGACATTTTGAGCAGACTAAAGACACAACCTACATCCTTGAAATCTTCGTTCGAAAGAAAGAGATGGCGTTTAAAAACGTTAAAATGGCTGAGAAAGCTACTAGGGAGACATTCTGAGCTTTCGATTGTTTGTTTGAAATTAAGCACAAAGCTACACAATGGGCTATCTGTGCTCTGCCCACCACGAGTATCGAAACCCGGATTCTAGCGTTCTAAGTCCGCAGACATACCGCTGTGCTACTGGGAGGTCCGATTGGTTATTCATATCAAATATGTGTTTTTTTTTATATTTACTTCCAAATTTAAAAATCAGTAAGATATAATACTAAAATTTGAATTATAATCTACAGTGTGATATCAGGCTTATTGACATAAATTCATGAAATAGTAGTTCAATAAAATTTTGATTGTGAGTCAACAAATGTGATGATATGGCCTTTCATCCGTGACCCATCTGGAAAGGGTTAACTTTTCGTAGTCCATGGCATCTCTTGATGTTATGTCCACATACACTTGTAGGTCTTTTCCTGTGAGAGGAAAGTTGAGACAGATTGCCCAGTCGCCTTTGCCCCAGTTCTGACTTTGGGTGAATCTTTCATATTTCCCCAGGAAAGCATCTATGGCATCTTTCTGCTCATCAAATTTGGGCAACTTGGGTTGGCTCCTCCATCTTTCTGTTGGGTGAGCTTGACAATCTCAATTTGTGCTCTTAATTTCTATATTTCCAGTCTCTCCTATCTTTCTCCTTTTCTTCTTTCTTTTTATGTACTTGTGTTTCAGGCTCACATTCTTCTTTCAGTATTTCTCTTTCTTCCTCTATTATCTGCCTCTCCTTTCCTCTCTTCTGTTGACACTCTTCTCTCCCTCTCTAGATCTTATTGTTGTATATCACACTCTTGTAGATCGCCATCTTTGAGCCCAAGTCACTCAACCCTCTCTATCCACCTATCAAATTCGATTGACATGGTCATATAGTGTGGTTGTAACCTGTAGAATATTTTCGTCACCACTACAGCTGTGTGTGTGTATATATGCCTCTTTGCTGCTGTTGTTTACATCATCTTCTACTGCTGTTTACCATTGGCGACCCTGGCTGGCTCGCCATTTTCAGGTTTTGTAAGGCTCGATCTTTTACAGTAGATGCCTGTGAACTGTTGGCTATAAATTTCAACTATAAACAAACAGCAACATAGTCCGCTTGTTTTAAAATAATACATTAAAACAAATGAAACATTTATACAAATGTTCTTAGCACTGTTTGTTATGACAGTTTTATCCAGAGCTTTAAATAGTTGTCTCTTTTTCGTCAAAGTTCAGACAGGCTGGTTTAGTTACTTTAGAGCAAAATTGACAAGACAAATTATTATTCTCTACTGTTATTACAATACAATCTGTGATAATTTCACTTTCAAAGTCGCCATTATACACTTTTTATCGCTAAACTCACGATCGTGCAATATATAACTAGAAATAGATAGTGATTTTTCGACACGTATTTATACCCCAACAAAAGTCTAGAACATTCCATGCAATCCTAGATATTCTGATGTAATAATACTCAATTAAACCAATGAGAAACTCAGAAAGTTCTAGAATCATGATGCAATAATCTCACTATTGTAAACAATTGAACTACACAACGTATGATAATACTAAGTATAACTATATAAATCTAAATCTTCAAACTCACATTAAGCTTACACTGAAACAGTAGTGTATATCTAACAACAATATATATGCATATCTTTCTTCATTATCTCACACTTCATCTGAAATCTCTGGTATAGTCTAGGTCACGACTAGGAATGATACAAGAGAGGTTAACTAATTACTTATTGTCATGATTGATGTTTGAGTCCAGGATCCTTAGCTTAAATTAGTGTTCTAATTAGACCAATTATCTCTTTAATGAGCTTTTAGGGCTTCTAGTCCCTTGCAGAGAGTTATCCACCTAATTTGATTAGATATTAATTCTCACTGCTTATTTATAGGGGCTTCTTCATCCTAACCAATCCCATCCATATGTGTTCATCCAATACTCTGGTTTAATTCATAACTGTAGTTGTATATCACATAGCTCACATTTTCACCTCCTATCACAGAACAGTTATTACTTAAATATTATATACATTTTTTTATATTTTATTTTGCTTACTTATTAATTTATAACATATCAAAAACCTCACATAAAGCTTATTTTTGTGTTAATAGTTGTAATAATATGAAATAGTTTATATGTAAAGCAGTCTGTTTAGTGCCACAGCTGGCTTACAGCAAGTGTTCTGAGATTGAAGCTTTACAAAATGAGTTACAATTAAGAGCTTCATCAAATACTGGCCAACGGGTTTTTGGGTCGGAAGTGGTTTTTGTCTAGGACTGAGCCATTATTTTTGGCATTTAATATTTGCAAAAAGAATCAATTTTTCATCACCGGAGACAATTTTGTCCAAAAATGGTTCACGTGCATTATGCGCCAGAAGAGACGAAGCAACATTCACATGTTGGAATCAATGATCATTGCAGAGTTAGTGAGTCACCCAAATACTTTCTTTATGGAGTTTTTCCATATTTCTTACTTAGATGTTTCATGAGAGACATGCAATTTCAGGGCCATTTCATGAATGTATTGCCTTGGGTTAGACTCAACAAGCGTCTTCAGAGCATCAATACCAATTCCAACATGTTGGTCTTTGCCATCATAGTTTTTAAGGCTAAAG